TTCTGTCCCTCTCTGGTCAAGTTTAAATAAATAAAGTTAAATAAAATAATTATTAAAAAAAAGAATCATTGATAAAATGATTTTATGTATCATTATTATTTTTTTTCCATATGGCCAGAGAGAGAGAACGGGAAAGTGAGAAAGCCAGCTGCCAGGTCTGAGACATCAACTGTAGTTGGCCACGTGAAACTCCAGTGCCTTAATCACCACACCACCATGCCACCCACCCATTAGAGTCTTAATGCTCAACCCACCTTCAACCGCAGTTAGCCACTGTTCATAGGCACACACATGCCCACATACTCAGGGAAGCCCCTGGACACAAACCCGGAACCTTCCCTTGTGGGCCGGCGTCACATAGCATTTTATTACTGCTGCACCACTGTCAGGGCCCTCAGCTTTAGTCTTTTTTTTTTTCTTCATTTGCCAGAGGGAATATGCACTCACCAGAGAGAGAACTAGAGAAAGAAAAAACATCCCCTCAAGTAGGTGTGGCCATATTGCAATCCATTTTTCTTCTGTTTCTCCATCTTACCTGAATTTGGGTGCACACACATGTGCCTGGTGTGTTTTTCAAGCTGCTGGGGCTGGGGTACAAACTGCAGTTGTCCATGTGAGATCCAGGGCAGCACTTAACTGATGTGTTACAGAGTCGGCCCTTAGCCAAAGTCTTGATAAGCAAAGCACAACTTCCGTTTTCATTAATCAGTGGGAAATGTAGGACTTTGTAAACTGCCTGGTTGAAACTCCTTCTCAGACCAGGAAACAGTTCCAGAAAACAGAAGCACCTTGCTCTGCATGACCTGGCTGTTTGTGTTTGAACACAAACAGAGCTGGGCTCAGAAATGGGGCTTCCTGGTCCAGAGATTTCTCCTGATGTCAGGCGGGTCACGTCTGATCTTGAAAATATTTGAATTTAAACCAAATTAATGGTGGTTGTATGTCCACAACTAAGAATGAGCAACATTAAGTGTGGACCAAAAAGACAAACAAATAGGCCCATGTAGTTCCCTGGCTTTGGTAGTACTGTAACTGCTCGTAAATTTATGAGTAACTTTTAATAAAGGGGGAGACTCTGACTGAACTGTTAAGGACAGCTTGAATACTAGTGGAAGAGCACAAGTTGGGAAAGGGACGGATAGTTCAGTTGCTGTTTAACTTATACTCTGTTGCCCTCTGCTTAGAAGCCAGAATCATTGATAAAAATCTGTGGGAAATCTCCATATCCCATTTTAACCTGGGGCATGTTGCTCCCTTGCTAAGACTTTCCCAGATGTCCCTGGGCAGGAGTCAGCTGACTGACTGCGAGTCCCTTCTGTCTGTTGCTTGGTCTCCAGAGCTCTAGCGGAGGAGGAAGGCTGGGCAGAAACCCCAAGACCAGATACTGCCAATCACATCTCCTCTGCCTGGCCCCTGGATTCCGAATTTCTATTCTCTCATAGTCTGGTATTGAGCGAAGATCAGCTAGCTTGACAATGGCATGTGGTCTGGATGGGATAGTAACATATGGTCTCCCCTTCTGTCCCCAGGCTCTACCTACAGCGTCTTGTCCATCATGCCCTCAGACTCAGAAAGCAGCAGCTCCCTTAGCAGCGTGGGTGAGTACCACCTGACATTCTTCTTTGCTGGAGGATTAGACCAACTGTAAACCAGAACAGTCCAGGGTTCATGGGATGGACATTGGACTCTCTTGTGAGATTACTCATGGGGTCATCTTCCTTTGATCCCATTCATGTTTTCTCTTATCAGGAAAAATCCAGCTCTGGTGTTGGAAGGGAAGTGGGTGCTAGGGGAGTCACATGGTCACCATTCTTCCACTGCATCAGGACATCAGTTTTCTCTGTGGGCCTATTGCCCCCATCCCCACCAAAGGTCGTGTAGTACCAAACTGAGCAATATGCCCCACTGGGCTCTGTGTTGCCTTGGGGACAGGAGTAGCTAGGCTATGCCCAGTTAGATGTGTTTCGCTGAATGTGGGTCCAGAAGCCTAGGAAAAGGGGCCAGCCCTGCTCTTCATTCACTGCAAAAGTAGTAGCACGATGGTTCTAAGTCTCTGTGCCTCCTTATACTCTGTGCCTTTCCCTGTGTTCCTCCCTGCTGCTTAGTGACCCTACATAGTGTGGTTTTTTAAAACCCTTTTTGCTAGAGGGAGTGTGTGTTTGTTGGAGAAGAATGGGGTGGGGGGAGAGAAACTGAAAAAGAGCTGCTTAGGGGAGGTGGCCACACTGCAATCCCTTCTCCTTCATTTCTCCTTCCTTTTGGGATTTTGGACACACATGCTTATGGGCCTGGTGTGTGTTTCAAGCCACCATGTCTGACCTTGAACCTTGGAGTCAGCCATGTGGGATCCAGCTGCCTTAACCACCATGACACTGGCTGGCCCAGTGTAGTTTTTGATGTCCTGATCTGACCATGATGGATGGAGGCCCTTCTGTGGTGAGTCTTACTGGGTCAAGAAGGACTCACAGATCATCTGCTAACATTCTTTTCGTTTTCACTCTATAAAGAGATGGGGAAAATTGACATTCCAAAAGGGGAAGTCTCGTTCCTGAGGAACTAGCTGGGGCAGAGCTTTTACATGTCCGTTCACTTACTGACCACTGCCAGTGTTTCAGGACTGGCTTTGAGATGTTGTAGTGAGAAGGCAGCCATGGTCCCTGCCCTCGTTTGGCTTAGGGTCTACAAGGGAGAGGTGAAATAGGCCATCACTACAAGAGTCAGTGTGGTGAGATAGGGAGTCACCAGAAGGGGTCTGCAGTGGTTTTCTAGGTCTTTCATAACAAAGAGCTTTTATAGAAAAAATTGTCCAAGATCAAAGTATCAGCAAGGCCATCCTCTCTGTAAGACAGCAGGGAAGGATCTGTTCTGGGCCTCTCCCCTAGCTTCAGGTGGTTGCTGGTGATCTTTGGCATACCTGGCCTGTAGGTGCATCACCCCCATCTCTCCCTTCCTGTTCACATGACATTCTCTGTATGTCTGATTCCAAGTGGCATTCCTCCTGCTTCAGTCCCCTAGCTGGGACTGTAGACTTCCACCACCATTTATTTTTATTTTTTCTATAGGGTGCATGCGCTCACTTTGGAGAGAGACCGGGAGGTGGGGGGGAACCCACACCATACTTTTTTCTCCTACATTCTCCTTTTAGGATTTTGGACACCCATGCACACATGCCCAGCATGATTTTTCAAGCTATTGGGTCTAGGATTCGAACCATGAAATTGGCAATGTGGAATGCAGCACCTTAACCTCATGCCACCTGCTGGCCCCATGCGTTGCTCTTTTTTAGACTATATCTGTCTTTGCTGTTTCTGGCAGCTTTGAGCTGGTAGTCCTTTTGCCTCAGCCTCCTAGAGTCACACACCACCATGCCTGACCTTTAGGTTGGACTGGGAGACAAACCGTGGCCTCCCATGTAGTCTCAGCCTATGGAACGCACTATCTTAGCCACTTTGCCACTACTACTGGACCCACATTTCCCCTTTTAATAAAGGCACTGATCATACTGGCTTTGTCTACTTTGCTCCAACAGACGTCATCTTTTTATTTATTTATTTTTAGAGATTTTTGCCTTTGGGTGCATGAACTCGTTAGAGAAAGAAAGACAGAGACAATGAGAGGAAAAGTGAGAAATCACCGCCTGGGGGAATGGCCATGCTGCGATCCCTTCTCTTCTATTCTCTTCCCGGGATCTTGGGCACGCATGTACACATACTCGGTGTCAGTTTCAAGCCACTAGGTCTGGGACTCGTACCATGGTTGGCCATGTGGGAGTCCAGCTATGTAACCACTACACCATCTGCCAGCCCCAGCAGACCTCATCTTAATTTGATCATCTGTAAGGAGCCCATTTCTAAGTAATGTTCACATTCATATTTACTAGTTTAAGACTTTGGCATTTGGGGGTGGAGGGCATACAATTTACCCCACAAGAACACAATTTAACCATAACTGTCATCCTGTCCAGGGTTTAAGGAGGCCTCTTTGGGACCACAATTCAGAGCTCCTGACAGTCTTGTCTGACTTTGTTTTGCCTGCTTTCCATGCCATGAGGTGCATCAGTTAAGCGATAGTATTGGGATTTTGAACGTGTGGTTGGCCTTTCAGCAAACACATGGGTGATGCAGTCAAGATAGTAGAGGCGAAGGTGGAGTTTTTGTGAAGTTGGGGTGAGGGTGAGCTCTGAGCATAGCCCTCTTACCTGTTTCATGCTGCACCCTTCTCCTGATTGAACAGATATTGACAAGTTCATGTCATAGGAGCATTAGCATCCCTAAGGGATGAAACTAAGGGGGAAACTCCAGACAAGAAGTATTGCTTCACCCACAGCAGTTCTGGCTAATGTGGCATTCCAAGCATGAGTAGGAAGAGATTTTTTTTTTGTGCAACTAAACCTCTGCATACTCTGGAAGAAGCATCATGGCAGTGATGAACCACCGGTTCTATACATACCTGAAACTGGTTCAGTCCTTGCCCAGGAGAGGCCAGCAGTGTCTCCAGATACTTTGTGGGAGTCACAGGCAAGCAGGAGCAGTGCTGTGATATGCCTCCTCTAGCAGTCTTGTGCTGTCTTGTGCTCAGTTCTTTAATGCTGAAAGAACTGGTTGCATCTTTTCCTTGTTACGTTCATATAGGACTGAGGTTTGCTTCTGGCTCATTTGGTTGAGATCGGCATTGTCCTTTGGGTATAAGCAGCAGGGAACACCTGTTCACACCACTTTAACCAGTGAGGAAGTGTGTAACTCAGAAAATATGGCCCCTGGACCACTGCCTTTGTTAGAAATGTGAGTATCTGAGGTTCACCTGCTGCAGCAGAAACTGAAGTTGGTGTCCAGCCTCTACTGTTAGACACTCTCTAATGGTGGTAGAGAGAGGCTTATCCAACCAAGTCCCTGGCAAGGGAACTGAAATGCCTGTGTTGGGGTTGGGCCCATCCCTTGGGGTGGGATGACGGGTGCCAGCATGGGACCACTCCAGTGCCCCTTGGAGGCAGAACTCTGCAAGCCTACTACTATGCTGACACTGGTGAGGTCAGACAGGGACTGCCCACCTTTGGTTGGTCTTTCTCCATGAACCTAAGGACAGGCAGACCAACGCCCTTAAAATAAAAGTATCACCTCTATTTTCCCACTGGCATCTACCTAAAATGAAATGGTCAGGAAAAGAATGGCAAGTTACATTCAGCCTGAGAGAATGCGGTATGTGAAGGCTTAGACAGCATCTTCTCTGTGACAGCCAGTGCCTGGGGAAGCTCATCCGGGCAGCATGGGGTCCTCAGGTGGTCTGTTGGGTTTCAGATCTCCAGCTTGGCCCTACTAACAGCTGTGGCAACTTTGCTGACATCCTTAAAGGTTGTAGAATCTTTTTGCCAAAGCTTCTGGTGGCTTTTCAGAGGTCTTCCTTTACCCCACATGCTTGTCATTGTAACCTGCCCTCCGTGCTGCTCCAGGATCAGTGGTTGAGTGTGTACTCATCTCAGGCAGTCAGTGTTTTTCCCTCCCCATTCATCGTGCCATAATTTCTCAGTAGCTTTGTATTTTTCTTCTTGGATAACTGGCGAGAGTTTTGAGGAGGAGAAGACACCCTCTTTGGCAGCATTTATGAAATGAGCTGTAAATTCCATGTAAGTTGAAGTAGCAGGAGCTCTTTTAGATGGAGAAGTCTCCTGGCTTGGATAAGAGAAAGAGCTAGAGGGTTTCTCTCATCCCAGCCAAAGATTCCTTGAAAGTTTGCTTTCTGGTTCACAGAGCAAGGTGGGTGAGTCATCGAGCAGGTGAGGGCTACTCAGGGAGACCCCCAGCCTTCTTCTGGCCCTTTGAAAAACCTTTTTTTTTTTTTCAGTTCATCAGCCATGTGGGAATGCTTTCTCTCACTGGAGTATGTGTTCAGTACTCATGGATCATACTGAGACGTGGTCCTTAATTTTACCGTGCTGCCAGAGATCAACAGAAAGGTCATGGTCACCGACTAGCCACTATCTCCTGTGCAGAACAGAAAGAAAGATAGCTCAGGGAAAGGGATGGTTAGTTCGAAAAAGGGGAAGCAAAGAGAGCTTCCTGGAGGAGGTGATGCACAAGTTGAGTCCTCCACGAATGATTTTCTGGGCTTGGGAGCAGCTGAGAAGCAATTGGCCACTGCTCCTTGTCTTGGTTTGGGTTTCTGAAAAGCAGCCCCTGAGTCAAGAGAGCGGGTAGAAATCGGGGGCAGGGCAGGGCTGCAGCTACTGTACAGGGCTCTAACCTCCTTTCATATGAGTCTGGAAAAGAGCTGAGATAGTCATGTATTGACTGACTTGGGACTGTGCCCCCTTATACCTCCAGAACTGGGAGGGTGGAAGCCTCACTGCATTTCATCAGTGAGGGGTTCCTTTCCATGCTCTGGCTGCTGGACTGCTAATGAAACAAGGGAGAGAAAAGAGAAAAGCCCACTCTGGCTAGCAAATGCTACTTTGGTCCAGACCAGAGGTTCTCACTGGTATCAGACATCAGGATCAGCTGGAGGGCATGTAAAGAGGTGGATAGTGAATTTGCCCCCGGGCTTCTGGGAGGGTCTGAGAGGGACCGACACTTGCATTCTGCCAGTCTCTCTAGTGAAGCATAGG